CCATACTAGCTACTATGAAGAAAATTAACTCTATCCCAGACAAAACCAGCACATTATCTCACAAATTTGTGTTTGGACAATATTTACATGCTTATGCTTGCAGAGGGACATTTAGGAGATGGGACATCAAGCTAAGATGCAACTAACAAAATTAAATCTCAGTGAAGTATTTTTACAGTCAGTGGTTCACCAGTGTGATGCTCCAGGACCATTGCCTCTCAGGTCCCTAGATGTCCAAGTTGAGCGCAGCTTCCCCTATCCTGCTGCTTGCAAAAGCGAGGGCTTACCCACTAGAACAGACGGCAACAGTTTCTTGTTTGTCATATAACACAAGAGAAAGGCATTTCGGAATCAGGTGGGTCCTGGAACAATTGCAGAAACATTCAGGCTCTGACCCAGTGACAAGTTCAATTGCACTGGGCTGTCCTGGGCTGCGGCTGACAGGTCTCACATCCCAAGTACCTACTTCCCATTCATTACCTCACACTCAACCAGATTCTGACATGCACCACCGGTTTTGGCCACTAATCAGTCTGGCATGACTTACTGGCTAGCAGAGAGGTGGTACCTCAAGCTGACACTGCTGGAGTCAGAAGTAGCAAGAGGGGAATTTTAAGAGCAGGAGCCTCAAAACTGCGTGTGGAGAAGGAGATAGTAGGAATGATAAGAGGGGTGGGAATGAAGTGTTGTATGACCAACCCTATCCTTTCTAGTGTTGATATGTGCAATTTTTATACAGAATTTAAAACGAATCACAGACAATACAGCTAATAAGATGCATGAACACTGAACACATCTTATGACAAAAACTTACAAAATGTTCCAAAAATAGGTGGGTAATTTAAGCTCAAATGAATGCACAAGGACTAACCCCAGAAACCCATCAAGGGAAAATTCCAACTTCTTACTGAACAGAAATACGATCAGGATTGAACATGATAATTCATAAGAGGGAGAACCATCCCAAATAAAGTAGCAATGACCATATGGACTGAGAAAGCTATTTAGGGTGAGCCAGTCCTGGGGGACAGAAAAAGAAAATTCCATAGTCCTCCTTTTCTCTCCCTTAAGTTAACTGTGAACCTGCAGCAACTGAAAGGAAAACTTATTTGGTAAGCTTAATTTTAAATTGCATTATTGTTATTTACCTTGCACCCCCTCCTCCACTTCAAGCTTTGCTCTTAGAATAAACTTGCTTTATTCTGGAAGCTTATCTTGGCATTAAAAGCAACTCTTAAGCAACTCTGGGATGAATAAGGCGTATTATTATTTCAGAAACAATTAATCCAAATAAAGAAGAGTCTTAGTCCTATCTTGTTGCACTCACCTAGGGCAAGTGGGAGGAACCTTGGGAACTGAGCTCTCTAAGCAGCAAGGATCAGTTTGAGAACCTGTAGCATCAGATATCGAGAAAAGTCAGGTCTCCCCTTTCAGCCAAGGAGGCACAATACAATGACAGCCCAGAAACCGGAGAAACTTGTTAAAAGCAGTTATTGCCATGCCCTGCCATTACAGTATGACAGGAAATTAAACTAAATGATGTATTCACTGTACATTTATTCATATGCATTTAATATGAATGTGCTTTTTTTAATAGTTAAATCAATAAAAAGGCAGACTTGTCAGTTTTTTACTACAGTTTTATAGTGGTAGGTTCCTTGCAAGGTTATCACCAGCCTCTCCTATCCACCGTATTTCCCAGTCTGGTAAATACTTAATTAAGCTCAAAACAACTGTTCTTAAACTCATAACTTAGCTTTGAAGTTCACTGCTTTTGTTTCAGTTTGGAAAAATGGGCTTCTATTCTCCAAACTTTTCAATCATCTGTGTGACAATACTCCAATTACATGTGGCACTAGTTATTACACTTTAAAATGCTGTACGCTGTCAGTTTTTACTGTTTCCCATAAAGAATTTTAAAGTAGAATTTGCTTTGAAAAGCCAACTCACTCACTTATAAGAGTAACTTCTTGTTGAAGTCAGTTGGCTTGTCCTTGTCACGAAACGAGGAAGTTCCTTTAGCAAGGAAATTATCATTTCTAAGATCTGTACCTGAGAGTTGATATTTACAGCTGAAAGTAAAGTCAGCTTTCACTCATCCTTCTTTACAAGCTCTGCCTGATTTTGTTAACAGACGTGTTATAATTATAAAACAAAATGGTCTGAGGTGAACATGAGTCCATTTGTTTCGAGAGACACCAATGTACTTCCCCATCACAGAACTTAGAAGCACTTAGAGGAAAGAAAGTTGGTCCAAATCAGTTTTACAATAGAGACTGATTGCTGCCTTAAAAACAGAGAAGCTTCCTCACTCTCAGAGCAGCTCTAAGACCGACACAAAAGAACAAGTCCAATATCTAAAGCCAAAGTGTTCTCCTAAAAGAACCAAGGGAGATTTTAGTGAATCTGTAGACTGTAGAAAGGTATTTATGTTTTTCCTAATAAGTAGAGAGCCAAACAAATGTTACTTGAGCTGGCAATCAACAGTATCATCATGAAGAAGTCCTACTAATATTAATAGGAATCACACCGGGCACTAAATTACTAATATAACAGAACTGGCTAATTAAAGATTATATTAGTTCAGAAAACAGCTGATGCATGTGAGGCTTATTGTGCTGTACAGAATATTTGAAGGGATGGCAAAAGACTGCTTTGGAGGAAGGATGAGACAAAGATACAGACAAACGCCAACACTTTGATAGTAGATTTTGTATGAACAGTAATTCAGTCTGACTGGCACCAGCTTTTGCAAAAATATTCTTCTCTCTGGAATGAAGTCACAAATATTTTAGGCTAAGGAAAGCCAGGTAGGTAAGGCTCAAATAAGACTTTACTATGGAAAAGTGAATGCCTCTCTATAGCTAATACTGAAACCTATTTTCCTTTTCATCTATTTTGCTAAAACGAGTTTCAATAATTGTGCCTATTATCTGACTGTGAATGTGTTCCCAGAATGATCTTACCAAACAAACAGAGGAACAAGAACTGTACACAATGGTGCATCTAGTAACTCTGTCC